GCCCCAAGACTTCTTTGCCAGCTCCGATGCATGACAGGTTGGTGTCTCAGGCGTATCCTGAGGAAAATTAACGCTTCAGTGGTGTGTCACAGTTGATGCGGTGTAACTGCGTGGGATCCCAAAGCCATATCAACAGATGCTGAAGTATGCCTGTGTGTATGTGTGTGTGTGTTTATATATATATAAATACTCATCAGGTAAATACAAGCGCCATGTGTTGCTTTTGATCACAGCGGGGTTACTGGCACAGTCAGCTCGGGACACTTGGGTCCATTGTGTGTTATTGGCCTTGCAGAAGTCCTAAGGCTTTGGGGTTAGTTCAGCTACCCAAGCACAAGGCTTTTGCATTGTGTTTTGGGGGTTTTGAGAAATGCATTTGCTCTGAGAGCAGTGTCAGTCTGGAAATCCATGTCCAACGTATATTAATTTTTGGATAAATCCTTTTTTTGTCGGGCGGGAGAGCAGGTTTTCTGTACGGTCGTGTTTCAGGGAAGCAGCACTGGTTTTGGTTGCTCGGTGGCTGGGGTAACCAGTTTATACTTTAAAATGTGCAATGTGAGGCTTACTTATAAATAAATTTTTAAAAATCCAAGTACCAGTTCTGATTAAAAGCTGAGTTTGATTTGGATGAATATCATGTCCTGGTTGCTTGCTACTAGCACTAGACCTCCTCAGGTTTACTCACACAAGTACTCACATTATGTGTAGTTATTTTAAGCATCATCATACAGTCATTAAATGTGACATGGAAGTTCAGAAGGTGAGTTCTGTTGATCCCAGTTAGGGTGCAGAACGTGCCTCCTTTCCTTGTCACTTAGGTAACTGCACAACACAACGGACAAGTTGCAAATGATTCACAAGTCAGGAATCACCCAGACACAAATTTGTGCTCCCAGACCAAAATCTGCAAATTAGTTTCTTGTAGATTTGACAGTTCTGTGTTTGAGGACCTAAAGTTCTCTTTGTACAGAATCTGAGCGATGTGGAAGTGTGAAATGTGTTATTTATTCCATGTTTATTTTCGCCTGTTTTTATCTGTGTTGATAACACAGATGAGCTGTTAAAAGTGGACCAAGACAAGTTGACTGGAATGACAATTAGGAGTGAGTTTTACCAGATGTTCTAAATTTGAGATCTTTTTACCTATTTTAATAATAATCAAAGCCAGCACAATTACGGATAATTTAAAGTTCTGTAGATAAAGTGAGACTTCTACATTTAACAGTAATTTAGAACACCTACACTCAAAATTTTTCAGGCACCTGTTTCACTCTTACATAAGTAACTAGGGACTGTGGTGGGCGATGGTGGTGCTGTTTGTTGATGAGAAGCCTGAAAAGGGATTGGAATAGTGGCAGACGGGCAGAGTGGAAGCACGACAAAAGAACAGACCTGTTTTTTAATTAAAACTGGCTTGGGTACAGGCATTGTTGAACAAGACACTCTACTCTGCCCTGGTGAGACCGCATCTGGAATATTGTGTCCAGTTCTGGGCCCCTCAGTTCAAGAAGGACAGGGAACTGCTGGAGAGAGTCCAGCGTAGGGCTACAAAGATGATCAAGGGAGTGGAGCATCTCCCTTATGAGGAGCGGCTGAGGGAGCTGGGTCTCTTTAGTTTGCAGAAGAGGAGACTGAGGGGAGACCTCATTCATGTTTATAAATATTTAAAGGGTGAGTGTCACGAGGATGGAGCCAGGCTCTTCTCGGTGACAAACAATGATAGGACAAGGGGTAACGGACACAAGCTGGAACACAGGAGGTTCCACTTAAATTTGAGAAGAAACTTCTTCTCAGTGAGGGTGACAGAGCACTGGACCAGGCTGCCCAGAGAGGTTGTGGAGTCTCCTTCTCTGCAGACATTCAAAACCCGCCTGGACGCCTTCCTGTGTAACCTCATCTGGGTGTTCCTGCTCCGGCAGGGGGGTTGGACTGGATGAGCTTTTGAGGTCCCTTCCAATCCCTAACGTTCTGTGATTCTGTGAAGACACCTTTGAAGATTCTGGTCTGGGATTCTGTCTATATGGACTAATATCCTAAATACCGCTGTTGGGTTTTATCCTGCTCTTAATGTCTTGATGGGATTCTGTCTTTGTAAATCACAGTTCTCCAATATTTATGCAGTTTGTCAGGTACAGCTGAGTATTACTGCTTGGGCCCATTTTTCATTATGAAAAATCTCTCTTTCAAGCTGCAGTGTGTTACCTAATCACTATCCGAAACTGGGAGCCAGTTAGCTAAGGTAAGTAGGGCAAGGCAATTCAGAGGTGACACTCCCTTGCCAAAAAGACTGATATGAATTAAAACTGAGTACAAACAACGTTTAGGAATAGGAATACAATTCTTTTGGCCTTTTCGCCATGATCTTAGTTACTGCTTTAAAGGATTACGTTGTCATCGAGCCTTATCTTGTCAGATGAGCATCAATAGCTGTTACAGAGATACAAGGTTGTAGGGCCTAATGACTCCCACCAACATCCACGAACTCTGAATTAGCTGAGTGTTAGTGGCTCTCAGAGGCTGAAGAAACATTTGAGTTGCAGCCTGATCGCAGGCTTGGGAGGTGCTGATACGCAGCAGTGGGGTGGAAACCTGGCCTTCCACAGCTGGTGATGGTGCTGTACGAGTCCACAGGGGCTCTTTCAGAGGGCCAGTCTCTCCCTAGCAGTCACAGAGCACGCCTGCTCCCTGCACACTGCTGTACACTGCCTGGAGGGAAGCCCGTCTCTGTTGGCCTTTTTTTTGACACTGTTGAAATTAGTGTAATAAATTTGAACACACCCTTTTGGAAAGGCAGGGTGATAGATAACAATCTGATTTTTCATGTTCATGTTCATTCTTTGGTTTCATTTGTTCACACCCATGTGCTGACTAGCGCCCATGGGCTGGCCAGGCTTCATTGTGAGTAATACGGGGGACAAGGGACACTGGCTCTGTAAAGTTTTCATTATGTTTCTTGACTCATGATGGCAAACCAGTACTGGGTGTGACTTATACACCCTCTGGTTAGTTAGTGGTGTTGGGTATCTTGCTTGGTCTCTTCCCCTCTTAGGCAAAATTCCCCGATTTATCTTTTTTCTTTTTTGTTTTAATTGGGATTATTTTATTCTTTTATTTTTATAGTCCAGTTCATCTTTGTCATCTTATCTTTAGGACAGTCTGTTTCTCCCTTGCTATCTAGTGGTTTGAACAAGATCAGTGTTCTGTAGCAATTAGCACATCATTTTCCTTTAACTCTTCTAGCTTATTCTGATGCATTCATGCACACTACATTCAGGCCAATATTAATAGATTTGATACAGACCTTTACCGTACAAGTCACCCACTAGTGCTGGTGAAGGGAACTCAATAGGAAAATTGTCTATGAGCTGAAAAACTATGGCAAAAGTTTCTGAAATAATTTTCAGTATTTATTATTATTTGCTCAGTAAAATGAGTATCTGGTCCAGTCATTGTATCTGGAATAATACAGTTCAATGAAATATTTGGATTTAAAACTACCTGCATTTTCCCAGTTGAAAAGCTTTTTTTCTGGTTGGTCATCAGCAAATGTTACTACAGATGTACTTTGCAATAAAGTCCAAATATATGAGAAAAAAACAAAGCGTTTATTTCACTTGAAGGTTTGTGTTCTTAGGCAGAAAATAGACCTGTTTTTCCAAGACTCTAGGAGGAGAGCAACTCCTTACCCTCTTAGTCTAATCTGTTTTATCTGCTGGTGAGACACTGTGTGTATATATATATATACTGAGCAACTGGAGATCATCAGTTTCCATTCTTATCAAACACAAATATTTACCACAGACCTGATCCAAAGTCTGCTGAGATCCATGGTACTCTTAAAAATGTATCTTAACTAGAGCAAACTCCTTTTTTTCCCCCAGTTTAATTTTAGTTGGTTTATAGGATTTTTTCTTAGCAACTAAGTCTTTTTTAAAATAAAGGAAAAAAACCAACACATTCTTTCTTTGCTTTATTCACCAACTCAGTTGTACAGATTCCCTAATATGCTTTCTCAGCTGTAGTTTCTGTCAGTGAAGAAACTCTGCAATGTTTTGACATCAGTCGTCAGCGAGGAATTGAAACACAGAAGCCAATGAGCAATTAACATTATTAAACTTTAATGGACACATTCCATATAAAAATATTACCTGTGGTATGGCACAGCAGCTGACAGATTTCTGGTTAGAAGGAGAATTGTGGGCATCTCCAAGGGCAATGTCATATTTCATGTACAGAGGGCAAGAAGAGAGGAGGTGTGAATAGCCAAGGTCCCAAGAGGGACTATTTTTGTGATAAATAAAATAGGGAATTTGAAGCGTTGTGGACTTCTGGGAGCTTTGCCCCTTGCAAGCCACAGACGCCAGATGGGGAATGTTGATTTTGCTTTTTCCTCTCCAATTTTATATGTAACTTAAAATGGCACCAACTGACTTCCCCTTTTCCCAGTCCCTTTCCCATCCCTGCCAATAACCATTTGGGCAGTGATAGGGATTAAAGTGATAATCTAGGTTAAAACTGCTCTCTTCCATTGAGGCTACGCAGCCAATCCCTGATTTAGCAGTGTTATTTCCCCACAGTGTCACAAGAAAAATTGTGCATGTTTTAAAAGAGTGGGAGAAGGCAACCAGAGGATTTTCACAGGACATCATCCATCAGGCATTTCAGGTAATGTTCTGCAGTGTTAATCAGGAGATGGCACAAACAAGAACAAAATGACAAAAGCAAACCAACAGCGTTATTAGCCTGGGATAAAAATTGTGTGGAAAACCTACAATTTTTATCTCATAAATATCAACATATAAATATTTTACAATGTTTCCAGTAATGAAATTTAACAACACTGTGCGTGGCCATTGAGTCTGAGTGGGATAACGTAGCCACCCGTTGAATTTATGACATGAATGATTGCTTTCAAAGTCCAGTAACTGACTAGCGTGCCTAACGTGCAGCCGGGTGGGCAGGACTGGTCCCTTATCTCTGGGCAGCGCACGTTAATCGTTTCAGGCGATAGCAGTGATGTGGGTCTGCTTGTGGCAGGAGGTGAGCGAGTCCCTGTTACACCTCCAGTAGAATTTAGGAGTGCAGCAAAGCACCATAGACATGACCAACCCCAAAGTAAGCATGAGACAAATTACCCATTTAATCAGCCCGGAGTGTATAAACGGGAGGATGAGGATAGTGAGAATCACCAGGAGCAGCAGGAGCAGCACGAGTCTCTGGAGAGCCAGCCTGTTGTCTGCCGGAACATTTTCCTCTCCAAATAAAACGTCTTGGCTGGTCTGAATCCAGCTATTGCTGTCCAGCCCTATGGCAGAGACGTGTACGTCAGGATTTAAATCGGCGTTTTCCAAGTGCTCCATGATGTCGTCTTTATTTTGCAGGGTGCGGACGAGTCCTCCTGACACAAAGGTGGCTTTTCTGCACAGGGGGCAGGTGATGATCCAGGTGCTCTCCTCTTTGCGGAGGATCAGCTTGAGGCAGACCGCGCAGAAGGCGTGCTGGCAGTCCAGCAGCTTTGGGACCCTGTAGATGTTGTACTTGTTGAAGCAGACCAGGCAGTCCATATCAACAGGTGTTGTCGTTGAACACTGGCGGTTCATTTCAAAACCGTGTACTTCGGCACAGGTTTTGTTCGTTAGCATAACAAGAGGCTCTGAGTTTGGACAGTCGCTTTCCAAAATCACTGGTTTAAAGGCATCAGGACTGTCGGGCTCTGTGCCCAATGGTTTCTCCGTTTCTTTGATACACTCTTCGGTGCATCCCAGCCTCTTCACATCTGCAGCGTTTTCTGCTGAGGGTCCTGCCCTGCTGATTTCTGCAGCACCTTCTGCCACGGGTGCAGGGCTGTCCTTTCCAGCAGGAGCCGTCGATCCGCTTTCATGGTTCAGCTTGTCGGTGGATTTCTCCATGGAGATAAACTTTGGTGCAGTTTGTCTTCCCTTAGCTGAAGGATTTGCTGAGTTTCTGGCTCCTTTTATGTGTTGCTTTATTCCTGTTGTATGCATGATTGATTAGTGACAGCTTTAAGCGTGTTGTGCTCTTACAATACGATGTTTTTATGAGGTGGGGACCCGAGTTAATGATTAACCTCATGGCTAAGACATTTTACAACGGCTGATAATATCACTGAGCAATTGCTGTCCAGAAGCAGACCCTGTGGCCTCAGCAGACTGCAGCTTTCTTCACTGTGGTAGCCAGACGCTACCATTATTACTAAATTAGTATTTTATTTGGTGAAAGCAATTTAATTGGTCTCTAAACACTGCTTTGCTGGACAGTGACAGATTCAGAGGAATTATCTAATATAAAAATTGGTGTACTAAATGCAGTGCTTTGATTAGAGAGTGTAAGTACCCCAAATTTTGACTGCTCTGGGTAGGAAGCCTGCTCTTCCTTTAGCAGTCCTTATTACCTACAGCACAAAGTAAAGAATGAGAAACTGTTGGTTTCAGTCATCAGAGAGCTTCTGAAGCGTGACTTAGTGTCCCGTAGGGTCTCACAGAGTCCATGACTGAGATCTGGAAATTAAAAACAAGGTTAGTCTCGTGGTAGGACCGTCTTCTTTTCTTGGTGTTCCCAGGACAACC